AGAAAATAATTGTTTACAAGGTCATAATCAATAATCTCTAAAATTTAAACAAACATATTCATGGGTTTTAATTTAAGTAAATAGAGTTCAGAAAATAATCCACATAATTGAAACATTAACCTAACCATAAAACATAAATTATATAGAGATTTTTATTGATAAATCCATTCTAGAGTTGTTATAACCCATTAGGTCCACAAAAGAATATGATAACCTGATTAGTCCCATAAACTTTTCTTTTTATTCCATAAGGTCCATTTTCCTAATTTAACATATTTTACTGGACTATTTTACTCTTAGATAATGGATTTACTAAAAAAGCTTTCAATTATATAAAATAAATTGTGGTAACTCAAAACACTCGTAAAATATATTATGGTAACTTAAAACATGTAGAAAACATATTATAGTAACTCAAGGTATAATAAAACTCACCTTAAGATTGACCTTTAGCTTTTAATTTTGTTACTATAACTCTAGTTATACCCCTCACTCTTCGAAGCTACACTGGAACACTATGAATAAGCCTCAGATTTCTCTTTGAAGTTCATTGAGCCTCTGTTTGGGAAGAGGCTTTTTGGGTTTTTTTTTGACTAAAATAGCCACAAAAGACAAAATAGGCTATTTTAGTCACAACAAATAAAATATCACATTCAACTCATAATCATTACACTTTTCTCTCACAAAAAAAATCAAAAAAACCAAAAAGTCAAAAAATTCTTCCCAAACCAAACTTTTTAGCCTAGACTAAAATAACTAAAAAAGTCAAAAAATGAACCCACTTTCCAAACGAAGCTGAGTCCCCTCTATTTATGGTTGAATTGCATGGAGTGTGTGCATGCATGGAATGACGCGTGGCATGTGCTACGTGTCTCTAGGCCCACCGAATTACCCCCTGTTTTACCAAGAGTTTGGCCCTTGGGTAATATATATATATATATATATTTATTATTATTATTATTATTATTATTAAGTCCAAAGGTTATGATATCTATGGTAACAATCCTAAAACTTTCGTATAATTATATGTTAGGTTCATATTTAAAAATTTTACGATCAAATTATAAAATATCACTTACTGCTTATCGAAATATTTAAATATGAGATGTTTCACAATCTATTCTTTTAATAATTTAATCGATAAATTCCCAATTTCTTAAATTATGTATTTATTTATTTATTTATTTTTGAGTTCTTTTTATTGCAATTTTAAATTTAAAAAAAGAAAAATCCGGTGTCACAATTTTTTCTTCCGATTTTGCATAAATTTTTAGATTTTCGACAACCACAATGGTTTACTCCTCTCTCAAACCTTCTCCCATATTATTGTGGGCGTACTTTCTTCTCCGACGACAATGGCAGCGGAGTTGGGTAGCAGCGATGTAGACAATGTAGATGGGGACAACAGATTTCAAACAGATCTAACTTTTTATACCACATCTTTGAGCAGATTGGTGATTTTTCCTGAATCATAGCTATTTTTTTTGGTGAATTTGTTTTTTGTTGTTTGTTTTTTTTATTTTGTTGTTTGGTTGGAATGACCCTTTAAGCTCTTATTTATGTACTGGTATTGTTTTATTAATATAATAATTTTCATGTTGTCAAAAAAAAAAAAAGAGAGAGAGAGAAATAAAACATGATTCTTTTATAATTTTTTTTTGGTCCCAACTTAATTAATTTTTTTTCTCCTCTAAATTTCCAAACAGACTTGGGTATAACATCAAATGAATAAGATTGAGATCCTTTCAATTACATGATTGTAATATAGAATTTTTTTCCTTACATCATTCAATAATTTAAATAATAATAAAAAAAAACACATACACATAGTCGTTACTTTTTTAAAAATTTAAAATAATAATAATAAAATCACTTTAACTATTTTACAATATTTAAAGGATGTAACCTTGGTTACAATAACTATGTAATAATGAAGACAAGGACTCCGATAAAACCTCCCAAACAGTGTTTCTTTGGATAAAATGGGGCGGTTCAGGAAAACGGAGTGAACCGAAAGCGACTTGAGAGGGTACAAACACGTGAAGCTATTGCTCAGCTAAGCTGGCACGCGTCGGCTTCATTTGGGAAGCTAAAAGCCAATTTTTTTTTTGGTTACTTTAATCACAAAAAATAAAATAAATTTTTTAGCTTAATAAAACAAAACATAACATCCAAACTATGATTATTACATTCTTTCTCTCATAAAAAAATCAAAAAAATCAAAAGTCCTTTCCAAACCAGGATTTTTAGCCATAGACAAAAATAATCAAAAAAGTCAAAAAACCAACTCACTTCCCAAACAAACCCACAATGTTTGTGGTCTTCCGATTGGAGAGGCTGAGACGTCAGAACATATTATTTTAATAATTTTTTAATTTTTTATAAATAATAAATAAATAAAAAAGAGAGAATAACATGATAATTTATAGTGATTTTTTAATTTTTTAACTAAAATATATAATTGACAAATGAAATCTGAGATAATGAAATAGGTGATTCACTTTGGGCTAAACACACTTTATAAATCAACATGTCCTATCATACCATCAAAACTAACTTCATATTTAATAATGGCAGAAAGTTCTAATTTTGGAACTCTAATAATGTGTCAAGAGAAAAAAAAAATGTAGATATACACATTATTGTAGATATACACATTATTGCGCTAAACACACTTTATAAAAAATGTAGATATACACATTATTGCGCTAAACACACTTTATAAATCAACATGTCCTATCATACCATCAAAACTAACTTCATATTTAATAATGGCAGAAAGTTCTAATTTTGGAACTCTAATGATGTGTCAAGAGAAAAAAAAATGTAGATATACACATCATATCACATATAGATCTCACTCATTGTCGTATCAGTAGAATTCTTTTTAGAACTCCAATATTAAAGCTCTCAATCTTTAGCAGTTAAAAAAGCAACAAATCACTTCGATTATATATATGGTTAAAAGTTATCTTTTAACTTTTAACTCATTTTGAATCATATTATTTTTTATATATATATATTTTTTAAAATCTTTAAAAAATTTATAAAAAAAATCAATTTTTAATTATTTTTCCAAAACAACCCACAAAAGTGCCCGTTAGCGTTTCAAATTTGACTCAAGAGGACGTTACAAGAAAAAAAAATTTGACACTAGCACACACGAGTCCCCACCTCTCTCTCTCTCTCTCTCTCTCTCTCTCGTGACTACAATGATCATATGAATCCTCTACGAAGCTTGTGTCATATTATTACATGCCTCAATTCAATTTGAAGAATTATTATTTGTGGATTTATTTTAACTGTATTTAAATAATAAATTTAACTAAAGATTTGGAAAAATAAAAAATAAAATTGAGTAAAATATAATTATATTTTATTCACATTTTATTTATAATTTTTTTCTTTTTAAATCTATAATTCAAATACAAGTTTAATATCTTTTAATTTTTTTTTTTGTTGAAAATATATAGTTCGTTTTAGGCCTATTTTGAAAAGTGAATTAAAAGTTACTTTTCACCTTTTAACACACCCCCTCTCCTACAAAAAAAATAAAAAAGTCAAAAAAATTAACTTTTAACTATAAAAAAAAAAAGAGAGAGAGAGAAATTAATCATTCTTTATATTTGACAAAAATTGACCCCCTGATCCCCTCACTTCATTGATTAAGAAGTTCTCAGAATAACAAATTAATTAAATGTTTTTCAAGAATAAGAACGACGGAACAAGTCAGTACCAGAATTAGGAATCAAAATCAAAGTGAAACATGCAAAAGTGTGAAAAGTTGCTTAAATTATGTACTCTCAGCTTCACTGGCTGAAGTAGGGGTTGGCATATGTTAGGTTTTGGGCCTAAAAACTTTCTAAATATCTACTTTCAATTTGGAAAATTATTGAATAATTTTGAAATATCACGTAGTCATATTTCAAATCAATCATTAATTACTTAGTCTCATTTTTTTTTTATTTTTAAAATAAATTATAGACTTTTATCTCTCTCTAACAATCAAAGCCTTATAAAATATCAAGCATCCATATTTCAGGAAAGCTGCATACTCATCGTTCATTTCGTGCACATGACATAGTCCTATTACACGGGCATTGGGCAGCATGATTCATCAAGATAACAACCAATAGATTGTCAACGTGTGTCAATGTGGCAATTACTCGGTTACAACCTAAAAAACCTAATAGGAAGGAATCTACCACGTCCTTAGGCCATGACACGGCTGACTTTTGGACGCAATTATCCTATAAAAAAAATTGCTAAATAAATATAATTTATATACATATTTTATACATACAAATCTTCATTCATTTGGAATTTAAAAAAAAATATTGATCTAGTTAATAATTACAAAATTTTTACTACTGCATCATTTTAGATATAAATTTTTATATAATTATCATTTTTCATATGAATAATACTATATGAATAAAAGTTTTATATATATAAAATAAAATAAAAATTAATTTTTATATCACATAGTATATCACGTAAATTGTATTAAAATTAAACTAAGCGGCACAACTTATTAAACTGATGCAAAATAACAACTTACTTCGTTAGTTAAATGTCATATAAAATTATAATTATTGCAGAATTTGAGTATAAAATATCGTGAGCTACCAGCACTTTGCTTGTTTATGTTAGGGACACTAAAAAGGCCCCCAGTCAGCAGTGAAATTTTGAACCCCCAAGTATCAAAATATTATTGTTATAATAAAATCTAATTTTATAGAGAACAAAACATATAATGGGACATATGCTTTACAAAGAATAAATCCTTCTATACTTATAAAATATTTATGTTTCATTTTGTATTTAGTACTTGTATTTTTGACATATTATTATTATGTATAAAAAAACAACGTGGATGAAGAGGAAAAAAAATTGCAAACCAGCCACGTAGCACTCTGCTATTAATCAAATTATGGGACCGGGTGAGCACTCAAAACATCCTCTAAACCTCCACCACTATATATAAATTCCCAAGGAGAAGTACCACCACCCTCAGTCATCTACAAACCTTCAATCCCCACCACCACCACATATATCACAACTTTCTCCAAACTCAGCACCATCACCCAAATTTCACCTCACTTCCCTCCACTGCACCACTTCTCTCTCTCTCTCTCTCTCTCTCTGTGTGATTGTTTAGAGATGGGTAACGCCGACTATACATACCCATCGACGAATGTGGAGCATGCACACGAGGTTGCAATCCCGCCTCCGCAACCTTTTTTCAAGTCACTGAAGGCCTCCATGAAAGAGACCTTCTTCCCCGACGATCCACTCCAGCAATTCAAGAACCAGCCACCAGTTGCCAAGTTCAAATTAGGCTTACAGTACTTCCTCCCCATCCTCGAATGGGGTCCCCGTTACACTTTCCAGTTTCTAAAAGCCGACCTCATCTCCGGTATCACCATCGCCAGCCTCGCCATCCCTCAGGGCATTAGCTACGCCAAGCTCGCCAACTTGCCTCCGATCCTCGGCCTCTGTGAGTGTCACCAATTTTTTATAACAAAACAATGCTAGCATGTTTTAAGTCTTTGAGTACCTTATTTTTAACCAAAAAAATATTATAAATTGTCACATTATTTTCTTTATTTTTTTATATAAAAATTATAAAATAAATTAAAATAATTAATTCCGAAACGAGGCATTAATAAGTGATCATTAATGGGTTGGGTTTTGTGTTGGATGTGTAGATTCGAGCTTTGTTCCACCATTGGTGTATGCAATGATGGGGAGTTCCAGAGATTTGGCTGTGGGGACTGTCGCTGTTGCTTCGCTACTCACAGCTTCTATGTTGGGGAATGAAGTGAATGCTAATGAGAACCCAACACTTTATCTTCATCTTGCTTTCACCGCAACTTTCTTCGCCGGAGTTTTTCAAGCTTCTTTGGGTATCTTAAGGTCTGTATGTCAAATAGATAGAATAGTTAAAAACTTAAAACAGAGCTATAGTTTAATCAAATGAAGTATGTCTGCATGTTTTCCTTTTCCAAGGTTTACTTGGTTTGGAGGGTTCTCTCTCCAATCAGGTAAGTTTTTGAATTAGTAATTAATAATTTAGTAGGTGTTTAGTATGCACTAAAAAGTATATTTTTTTATATACATATATTTATTTAAGTCACATCATTGATCTATTAACGTGTTATTTTTACTTTTCTATTCACTTTTTCTTCTTTTTTACACATTTTTTTATTATAAAAAATAAAAAAGTACATCATTTAGAACATCTCAAACCACTCCTTAATTTAATATAATATATATCTTGTATTTAAAATTTATTGTCTATTCAATAATTAAAAATAATTACATGTGTTTGATCTGATTATAAAATAAAGTATGTCTCTGTCTCATACTTGGGAGGATGTATTGAGAATATAATATAAATAATAAAATTATTCATCTCTTTAATAATCTAAATTCTTAAATAAATTAGTAGTCAATAATTCAACAAACAATGAGTCTTTGAAAAAAAAAAAAATTGTTTTAACAATTTGTATTTGTCTATTCTCCTTTGAACTTTTGGCTTTTGTTGTTAATTTAGTTTGTCTTGTTAGTTGACTCACCCGAACTCACTCTAAATTTCTAACATGGTATATGAAGTCTTAAATGGTCTTTAGGTCAAGTCCTCGTTTATTCCGCATATTTTTCCATTCGTTATCAGTTTTACACATAATTGGACCACACACGTATTTACATTGTCTTTGGAACTCTTTCTCAAACTTTAACAGTCATTATGGTGTCGTTTGATAACACTTATCTAATTGGTTATACATGTACAAAGACTGAAACATTGTTTTTTCTTCGAATTGATTATATTTTGTCTGATGTGAATTCTATATATTGTTCCAAAAATGAATTATTGGGGTTTGTTGTGCTGTGATGCAGGCTAGGGTTTATAGTGGATTTTCTATCACATGCAACGATAGTGGGATTCATGGCAGGAGCAGCAACAGTGGTGTGCCTGCAACAGCTGAAAGGGATTCTGGGACTGGACCATTTTACCCATGGCACCGACCTTGTCTCTGTCATGCGTTCTGTCTTCTCCCAAACCCATAGGGTCTCTTTCTCTCTCCAATAAATTGATGCCACCAAAACTCACGGGAATTTTTTTTTTTAAAATAAAATTTCTATCCTCATTTATCTTTCGTTTAAATTCAAATTTTTTCTTGCAGTTATTTATCTTTCATTTAAATCATAATTTGTAATTATATAATTTTATCACATTAGTCTTCAAAAAAATATATATTTTTTTTTAAAAAATTACTTTTGTTATTTATTTTTTAAGACAAATATAATAAAATTATGTATTTACATGTATCGGATCGACCTGATTTTTTATATAAATGATGTATATAAAGTGACTTAAAAAATGAACAAACAAGTTGAATGATTGAAACGAGACTTGTAGTGACCTCACTAGCTCAAACATCACAATTCATTCCCTTTGTTTTTATTCATCTTTTTTTCTTTTTCTTTTTTTATTTATTTATAAACACTATCAATTGTATCTATGTTTAAATATAATATATTGTATACGTACATATAGTTTTTATTATATGAATACACAAATAGCCTTTCTTTTTCCTTTATTTTATTTTTTGTTTTTAGCTTTGATGTCTGATTTTGATGGGTTTATTGCAGTGGAGATGGGAAAGTGCTGTATTGGGATTTTGTTTCCTTTTCTATCTCCTCCTCGCTAGATTCTTTGTAAGTAGCTCTTACTACCAGCTCATAGTTTTTGTTTTTGTTTTTGTTTTTTTTAATTTTAAATTTGAGACGTCGATTAAGATTCTTAAATCCATGTCTTACGCCTACCTCAACAAAAAAGTCAAATGGGTTTATTTATCAATAAAATTGTTATTAATAAAACTTTTTCTTAGTACTAGAAAAATTCACAAAAATGTTCGTTCCCCTCAAATAATTGCTTCAATTGTTACACTTTTTTTCAAATTTTCTGCTTAAAAAAAGTCAAGTTTTCAACCCTACCCTACTTCTCCCACCCCAAATTTAGTAAAAGGAAGCAGTTTGTTGCAGTTGATTAAGGAAGTAGTGTAATTGAAAATAATTTATAAATAAATATAATGAGTGCATGCTTTACGGTTTCATTGGCTTGCTTATCTTATATATTGAGCCAAACAAAAACTAAACTACTCATTGTAGTCGGTAATGGTCCGATAGGATAGGGTTGATGGCACGTGCATAGCATGCGGTTTGACAAATGGCCATGCATCTTCAGTGCTCAAATTCTTTGGATTTTAAGTGTCAGATTATACGAAAATTTCAAATTTTGATATATAATTTAGTGAATGTTTTGAAATAAGAAGATAGAGATAGAATATCGTGAAAATATATGAAGATTATTATTATTCATGAGTATTACGTGCGTGTTTTGATGTTGATAATTTTTTATGAGTTAGTATGTTGTAGCATAGAATTGATTTTTGAGGTATGTTTGGACAACATATGTAGAGTAAAAGAAGACCAAAGTTGTTTTGGATATCAGCAATGGCTCCTTTGACGTCTGTTATCTTGGGAAGCGTTCTTGTTTATCTCACTCACGCTGAAAAACACGGTGTTCAAGTGGTTAGGAATCTCTCTCTATATACATACATGATCATTAAAAAAATAAAAAGTATAAATTTTTTTTTAAAAAAATTTAAAAATTCATTGAAGCCAAAAATCTTACAAAATATATTTAAAATTTGTATAATATTGTGTGAATCATTTTCAAAATGAACTTGATCCACACATGATATATTTAAATGCATCTCAAATTTTATCCATTCCTAGAGTGCTGCATTGTGTGGTTGAGATTTACTGGCAAGTCACATCAGTAAATCTCAACCACACAATGCAGCACTCTAGGAAACTTTAGAGAAATTTCACTCTAGAGGATCCTTGGTGCTTACGCCTACCTCAACAAAAAAGTCAAATGGGTTTATTTATCAATAAAATTGTTATTAATAAAACTTTTTCTTAGTACTAGAAAAATTCACAAAAATGTTCGTTCCCCTCAAATAATTGCTTCAATTGTTACACCTTTTTTTTCAAATTTTCTACTTAAAAAAAGTCAAGTTTTCAACCCTACCCTACTCCTCCCACCCGAAATTTAGTAAAAGGAAGCAGTTTGTTGCAGTTGATTAAGGAAGTAGTGTAATTGAAAATAATTTATAAATAAATATAATGAGTGCATGCCTTGTGGTTTCATTGACTTGCTTATCTTATATATTGAGCCAAACAAAAACTAAACTACTCATTGTAGTCGGTAATGGTCCGATAGGATAGGGTTGATGGCACGTGCGCCAAACAAAAACTAAACTACTCATTGTAGTCGGTAATGGTCCGATAGGATAGGGTTGATGGCACGTGCATAGCATGCGGTTTGACAAATGGCCATGCATCTTCAGTGCTCAAATTCTTTGGATTTTAAGTGTCAGATTATACGAAAATTTCAAATTTTGATATATAATTTAGTGAATGTTTTGAAATAAGAAGATAGAGATAGAATATCGTGAAAATATATGAAGATTATTATTATTCATGAGTATTACGTGCGTGTTTTGATGTTGATAATTTTTTATGAGTTAGTATGTTGTAGCATAGAATTGATTTTTGAGGTATGTTTGGACAACATATGTAGAGTAAAAGAAGACCAAAGTTGTTTTGGATATCAGCAATGGCTCCTTTGACGTCTGTTATCTTGGGAAGCGTTCTTGTTTATCTCACTCACGCTGAAAAACACGGTGTTCAAGTGGTTAGGAATCTCTCTCTATATACATACATGATCATTAAAAAAATAAAAAGTATAAATTTTTTTTTAAAAAAATTTAAAAATTCATTGAAGCCAAAAATCTTACAAAATATATTTAAAATTTGTATAATATTGTGTGAATCATTTTCAAAATGAACTTGATCCACACATGATATATTTAAATGCATCTCAAATTTTATCCAAACATTTTATTCTCATAATGATGATGATAAAGAGTTGTGATATATATGCTGAATATTTTCCTTATGAATATGTTGCAGATAGGCGAATTGAAGAAGGGATTGAATCCTCTGTCAATAATGGACCTGTCATTTGGAACTCCATATCTCTCTACAATCATCAAAACTGGTATAATCACGGGTGTCATCGCTCTCGCCGTAAGCCAAAACCTCCCACTTTTTACTAGCTTTCTCTCGTGTATACACACCATACCATACCTCCCTTATCTTAATTGTTAGGGAAAAAATATATTATTTATTTATTTATTTTTGATGTATTATAAAACACGCTCTCTATGAGGTTTCTCTACTTGGTTACAGTTTAGACAGCTACGAGACCTGAATTATTGTTTACAGCTATTTATTAGTATTCTTCAATTACATTTCTTTTGTCATTATTTATTTATTTATTTGAGTCTGACTTATTCTAACCCAATAATGGTAAAAAGTTTGGTACGCCAATAATAGACCATTCAGTGCCTATTGATTGTGAGAAATCTGTGATCCCACAACACCAACGGGATTAATTGTGGATCGCATAGGCAAGCTTCACAATCAGTGTATTGAAAAAAATTCAACCTTTTTTTTTTTTTTTCTGTTTTTAGGGAAATATAAATTGACCCGAATTTGAAATATGTGGATTTTTTTAAAAAAAATATATAAAGAATAATATTACGGATCATGAAATACATCATAGAAATTTACCATCCTTTGATTAGAGTGTGATGTTTTATTGTATGTGTAATCGAAAGGTAAATAATCTTTTATAATTATTTTCATGACATTTTTTTCATAATTCCTAACATTACTCAAATATAAAATGGACTGTTATTTCTTTCTCTTTTTTTTGAACAAGAAATGGACCGTTATTTCATGAACTTAAGATGTGTCACAGCGATTAGAAATTTTCAATTTTGTTGTGGCTACTCTGGAATCACAAATTTTGAGAATTAGATGATTACAACACACTACACTACTATAGTATCAAAACTTATATATATATGGAAAATGATAGAATTAAAGAACTACTAGAAACATACATATATATATATATATATATGATGTGTATGGTTGATTGATACAGGAAGGGATTGCGGTGGGAAGAAGCTTTGCGATGTACAAGAATTACCAGATAGATGGGAACAAAGAGATGATAGCTTTTGGGATGATGAATATTGCTGGTTCTTTCACTTCTTGTTACCTTACCACTGGTATTCACTTCTTTTTTAAATTACTCTCTCTCCCTCTCTCATATTTATATATATTTTTTCAGTGAAAATTATTATAAAAAAATTTTAAAAAAAAATAAATTTGAAGGTTTGATTTGGAATGATACCAATTAAAGAATTTAGAATTTAATTGGAATTTATTAAAAAAAAAAAAAAACAGCCCAATTTTTTACTAGAGTAAGATCCTAAATTTTTTTTTTGTTTAATTACTTATTTGTAAATCTTATAACTCATTGCAATTTTTTTACATAATAGTCATTTTCAGTATTCATATTTTTTTTCCCGATAATATTTAAAAGAAAAACGACACTAAAGCATGGTTTGAGATATTCTAAATAAGTATACTTTTTGACTTTTTATGAAATATGAGTTGAGTATGAGTTAGGTTTGAAGTGATGTTGTAGAGAGGTGCTGATTTAAATAAAATGATATGACTTAAATAGGATAGTGACTTTTTAACTTTTTTAATATATGCCAAACAAGGCTTAAGATTGTCTCCCTCCCCGGCCCGGCCCGGCCCAAGATAAAGCCCAGGTCTATATCTGAGTTCAAAACAAACCAGAGCGGCCCGTGAGCTTAGGCTTATCCAAAATCGCTCATAGTGGGCCTAATGAATAAGCTTAAAAACCACATAATCTACATCATTTTTGTTCAATAATCAATACACTCACAGGCCCATGGCCCAACAATAGCACCATTATGGCACTCAAAACTTTCAAACTTTTGATTTTATTTTGATTTGAAGAATAATTTTTAGAGAGAAAAAAAGTTAATAAAAATTTAGCTTTTATTACTTTCCCCCCCTTTTTTTTCACATCACAAATCTTTCATTAAATTTAAGATCAAAACACAATCTCAAATACATATCAAAGTCCTATGACCCAATAAATATCATAGGCTGAAGGAAAAAAACTACAAAAAAAAAAAAAGGTACCATGAAAATTACACCAAAAGAAAACTTTGCTCTATTTCCACTTTTCCTCATTTTTACTTCATTTCAAATAATAAACATTACTGATATGCTGATAATCGTTTATGGGCACACAATGAATTGCAGGGCCATTTTCAAGATCAGCAGTGAACTTCAACGCAGGATGCAAAACAGCGGTTTCTAACATTGTGATGGCATTGGCAGTGATGATCACATTACTGTTTTTAACACCTTTGTTTCATTACACTCCCCTTGTAGTTCTGTCTTCTATCATAATCGCTGCCATGCTTGGCCTTATAGACTACGAAGCAGCAATCCATCTATGGCAAGTTGACAAGTTCGATTTCGTAGTCTGCATGAGTGCTTACATGGGTGTCGTTTTTGGCAGCGTTGAAATTGGTTTGGTCATAGCGGTACAAACCCACCTTAACTCTTTTGTTCCTTGACACAAAAAATATATATATGTATATTGTATATATATAATACACATCATTTTGATAAAAATTTACAAGTATTATGTTTGAAACCTTTAATAATTTAGTATTTTCCATTGCAAATTAAAACCTAAAGCTAACTTTATATTGGTGCCATTAATGCAGGTTGCATTATCTTTGCTTAGAATACTACTGTTTGTGGCAAGACCAAGGACCTTAGTTCTTGGAAACATCCCAGATTCTATGATCTACAGAAGTGTCGATCAATACCCTAATGCAAATAATGTTCCAGGGATTCTCATACTTGAGATTGATGCTCCCATGTACTTTGCCAATTCAAGCTACTTAAGAGAAAGGTAACCAGAAAATACTCAAATGATCTAAATCATCAGCATATATAGATACATGGAATGTGAAATTCTAACATTCATGGAGGCTGATCTTGTTTTTAGGATTTCGAGGTGGATAGATGAGGAGGAAGACAAGCTTAAATCCTCTGGAGAAATCAGCTTACAATATGTCATATTTGACATGGGTGGTAAGTAATGGATCTGAGAATTAATGATCTCAACAAAAATATATACTAATTACCTTAATCACTTCTTATATAAATTATATTTAAGCTCACCTGAAATAAATCTCTGTTTTCCAGCGGTTGGTAACATCGATACAAGTGGAATTAGCATGCTTGAAGAGGTCAAGAAGAGTACTGACAGAAGGGGGCTCACGGTATACTCTTTTTCTCTTGTTTTTTTATATAGCAAGCCAGATTGCAAAAGGTACATAAAGAACTCAAGTAAAGAACTCAAGTGAAGTACATAAAGGTTAGGTGATTCAATTTTCTTCCTTGCTTGCTATGTAGATGGTATTGGCAAATCCAGGAGGAGAGGTAATGAAGAAGCTGAACAAGTCGAGGTTGATAGAATTGATAGGCCAAGAGTGGATCTATCTAACAGTTGGGGAGGCTGTTGGAGCATGCAATTACATGCTTCACACTTGCAAACCAAAACCAAAGCCTGTGACTACTTCTGAATCAGAGACATGGGGTGACAATGTTTGAGCTACACAACAAAAAAAAAGAAAAAAAAAAGCAATTTTCATCTCGCTCTCAACGCTTAATGTGCGGCCAAATGCATCAGAATCAATTCGGATGCAACACATATATGTGGTTCGTTGGAACAAAAGGGAAATTGTCTCGGGCTTGTGCTAAAGTTGGAAGTATTTTCCTTTTTTTAATCTTCCAACATTATGTAATTTGAAGAATATGTAGTATTGGATACATGAAACTATATAGTCTTTCAGATTTGTAATAAAAATGCAAGTAAAGTCCTTCTGTGCTTCCCTTTGTTTATATTGCATTTATGTACAAAAACAAAAAATTGGATCAAAATCGGCATACTTCTGACTGTAGAGTTCTAAATTTAGCTGGAAGCGCAGATTATAACTAATTGAATGATTTGGCTTAACCAATAATTAAAATAAAATAAAATAAAACGAGTTGAAAACCTGAAAAGTGGAACAAATCACTCTCAATTGTTAAATCATAAGCTTTTAAATTTTAAGTTAAATAAATTGCTAATAAGTAAGAAACAAACAGGTCACACACCCAGAGTTCATGTAGTTGATACTGCTGGCACCCAACAATAACAATTATGTAGTATGGAAACTTCATATTAAATCAATCAAATTTTTCATAACAAATAAATTAAATTAAATAAATTTGATTTAACATGAAGAAAATATTTGCCAACAAGAAACAAATTAATAAGGTGAAGGCTAAAGGAAACAAGATTACCCAAGAGCCGCTGGCTTCTTATGACTAGAAGGGGCCTGACATGTACAGCGATTTCCTAAACTAAAGAAACACAAAACACTCCAATGTAAACCAAGAAAAACACATTTTAAGTCTGAAAAATAGCTCTAGAGGGAAAATTTATAGACAATGAAGAATAATGTAACAGAAATATGAACTCTGCTGATATGCCGGTGTACATGTCAAAATACCTCAGTCTCCCCTTGTTGAAGTTTGGACACAACCACAAAACCTCACTTTCTTTCTCCTGCGGCTAGTTCTCACAGCACCGTAGAGATAGTCACGCAACAGAACTCTCCTTTTTGTGTCTGCAATTCTAGTTCTTCCGTTACTTCCTTTTTCATTTTCATCATCAAGTTTTAGCAAAACAAACTGTATTTTCTGCACTTCCAAATGCAACCGTCCAATTTTTTCAGAGATTTTTAGCGCCTGTTCTGAAATCCTTCTCCTTCTGACACTCCCACTTTCTTCCAACTTCATTTCAGAGTTGTCAGCAGAAAATGATCTGCCATCGATACTTTTCATCAATTTACCGTTGAGATCAAACAACTTCTGGATTGCCGCCTCAGCTTCTTCAAGCTGCCCCTTCAGAGTATCACATTCGACAAGGTCTTTAATCTTGTTGCTCTTACCATTAATGTCCACTTTCCTCTTCAAATCTTGAATGGTAATTTGAAGGTTTGTCAATTTTTGGATATCAGAATTAAGCCTTTCCAAGATCTTTCCCTTGTTGACTTCTCGACGGGTCTGTGAAAATGTCCTGGAAATCTCTAATTTGTCCACACCCAACTCCTTTTCAACCAGAATATCTGAATTGAGATGTTTACTCCTCCGTTTCCTTACCGCCTCAACCTGATGCCACTCAGTACCTTTCTCTGTAGGTGCAGTGATTATTTTCTTTCCCTTCCAAACAAGAAGATCAATGCTGTCATCCAGATCAGCAGCATCCCATGACTCAAGCATCTGACTCTCAACTTTGACATTTTCTCTCCTGCAAATCCCATTGGATGAACATTCAGATATCTGATCAAGCACAATGTCCTTCATCAGAAGTCCATTCTCCAATTCAGAGATTTCAGAAGCCGACTTAACATCTTCTTGGTTTGATCCACCTTTGAATGTTAACTCTTCAATCTGTCTCATAGCAGCCTCTAGTATGGTATTAGCGTTTAAGTTTTCCTGTGTCGCAATCATCTCCATTTCAATCACTGCCTTCTCAACAGCTTTAACCCTGCTTTTCAAATCCTGCAACTCTGAAAATGCATCTGGCATCTTTTGATCCGCACTCACTTCTTCACAGCTTTCAACATAATGATCACTCACCAATTCAGGATCCTGGAAACAAGAACTTCGAAAAATTATTTGCAGTACATGTTTGTGGCACAGCTGATATATCGTGGACTAGGATATGCATGTTTTAAAGTGGGGGTCTGTCTAGGTACCCAACTCCACCTAAACTCTTGGGCTATTCCTTGGTTCAAAATGAATTGACTACATAATTAGCACGTTCAACTTCACTAACCAAACCAAACTGTGTGTCCCAATCAAGTGGGGTCAGCCACATGAATCGATTTTCTCCATTCAGCTCTATCAGTTGGTCCAACTTCACTAATCTAGAAATATTAAAGCAATGCAACAAACACACTAATAGCATTTTAGGGAATTGATAAAGATTCTTATTTCAGAACAACTCTCAAAATAGACATTTTAAATATTCATATAAATTAACATTACCTTAACTTCCTCATTGTGGTGTTTTTGAAGCTTTTTACGCAAACAGGTATGGTTCTCCAGGGAAGATATACAATCCTTCAAAGAAATGACGGCTGGGACATGTACAGCCAACTGAGCTTTGAGTCCTCCATTTTCGGCTTCCAAAGTGCTGATTCTTTCTTTTAGCAGCTCAATATCCATATCCTTTTCTTGGTCATCCCTAACCATCTTAACATCATCAATTTCCCTCTTCAGATCCTCCACTGTCCTTCGCAACACTGATTTCTCGTTCTCTGTGGCAGTGATCTTGCATACTGCTTCAGAAAGTTCAAGTTCCTTTCGAATGAGCAGATCCTTGCCATTTGCAATTTCATAATTCATCTGATCACTGAAAGATGTTTTTCTACTTAACTCATCCTCTGAATTCTTCAATGACTCCCTCAGATGCAAATTTTCAAGCTGTACCTCTACCAAGTTTCCCTCCATTGTTCTTAATTTGTCCTCAAGGGCACCATTGACGCAGTGAAGTTTGTCTACATCTTCACCAAGCTCATTTAGTTCCACAGAATTCTCATTGATAATGCTATTGAAAATCAGACAGAGATTACTCAGAGATAATGTTTCACCTAAGATAGAAAAGTTTTCCCCCTCTAGGGTACCCTTTTTTTCCTCCAAGTCCAGGCATTCCATTGTCAAGGATCTTTTTTCTTCAAGCATCCTTAAGTTCACTTTCTGTAAATTCTGGCAAGCGCATTGCATATCCAACAACTTTCCATGTAGATTCTCTATCTTTGTTGTTAGTACTTCCTCTTTTTGGTGCCTTTCCTTCAATTTCAATTGCAATTCTTCATTCATCTCAAGAAGCCTGTTTCCTTCAATCTGCAACACAGAGAACTGTTCATTCTTGATCTTGAACTCCTGGTCAAGAATGTTTCTTTCCATCTCAACAGTTTTTGCTTCTAATCTTAGTTGCCCAAGCACTGTGACAAGAACTGACATCTCAAGTTTGAGCTGCTGATTTTCATCCTGGACTTGATGAAGAGAATTTTTTATATCTTCAAGTTTGCCAAGCACGCGACTCAAATATTTTTGGTCTTGCCCAATCTCATCTACACACCCATGGTCTATATCAATATTAAAAGCCTTCAACAACTCATACCTCCCCATCCTAAAACTCTTGGTTTGATCAGACAAGGATTTCACTTCCACCTGTTGCTCAAGATTCTCTTGCTCTAGTTCAGAAATCAGCTGTTCTGACAGTTTCGATGCTTCCAGGAGTTTCCGACATTCAATCAAAAGAGAGTGGTTCTTTTCTTCCAGATCTTGTATGCATCTCTGCAAGATGAAGACCTCAAATTGATAATCCATAGATTTATCTATCTCTACTTCAAATTCACTCTTCCTGCGGAAACCTTCTTCTTGTAGGAGACAAATCTGATTTTCCATTCCAGCCAACTTTGTCTCACTCATTTGGGTATTTCTAGCATGTTCTTGCCTTTCTACATCCAAGGAAACACGTAGTACTTCCACTTTATGAAGTGTGGACTCTCTCTCTTCCTCCAGAGCTGAGTATTTTTCTTCTAAATCTCTATATCTTTTCTCAAGGACTTCTAAACTTTGCCGAGTGATTTCCTCCTGAGAAACTAGGGTATGTTTCTCTTTGATAAGATCAGATTTTTCATTTTCAAGCAACTGGCATGAATCTTCTATGATTTTCGATCTTGCCTTCAACCCTTCAAGTTTGTCTTGAGCGTCAGAAAGGAAATTCTCCAGAAAGGTGTTTTTCTCTGAGAATTTCACCAAATTCTCAGTCATTACCTGTAACTGAGTTATTAGAGTGGCCTTCTCAGCAACAAATGTAGATTTCTCTTCCAATAGAGATTGTAAGGACTCTTCCAGTGCACGTATCTTCCCTCTAGCCCCTTCTAACTCAGCACTCAAATCGGAAAGGGACTTGTCCAAAAGGGCATTCTTCTCAAGAAGCTGTTTCATGATTTCCAACTTCTCCAAAAGCGCTGCTTTCTCACTTCTTTCTCTCTCAATGATTTCTTTTAGATTTGAGTTCTCATCCTTCAATTCCTTTACTGACGATTCAAAACACTCTGGGTTAAAGCCTGCTGCATCAACCTGGTCCAGCATAGCCTGGTGTTTCTTGTTCAGCTCATTCAGTTCCTCTTTCAGACAGTAAATCTCTTGTTGAAGAGCATTCCTTTGGTCCACTCGGAGTTCAACCTCCTCTTCAAGTTTCCCTTTAGTCTCCCTTAAGCTAAAGATCTCACTTTGCATATCTTTAATTGACATGGTTGACGACAAGTTAAGCTCATTGAGGCTCTTGTTCTCCTCTTTAATATTCAGGACTTCATTCTGCAAACTCTGATTCCGAGTTTCAATATCCCTTAAGAGTTCAGCCCTGCTCTGTAGCTCCAAAGCAAGAGATCTCAGTTCTTCTTGAGTTTGAGAGTGCAAATGCTGCAAAGTTTGGAAAGCAGTTTCAGCCTCCATAAACCGTAATCGCTCTTCTTGCATGCACATCCACAATTTGCCCAACTCGTCCTGCTTCTCTGTCAGTTCTTCACTTTGAGAACCCATCTTCAGTACCAAAGATTCCAACTCAGAGTGAAGAGATTGATTTGATCTTTCCAACAGAAGACAGTGCTCTTCAGCACCCTTCAACTTTGAGACCCCACTATCAATTTCCCCACTAAGCCTTTGAGCCTCCTCTTTGGCGCAAGAGATTTTATGCTCTAGCCTTGAAATATTCTCCAAGCATTGCTGATACTGTAGAGCAGCAGCTTCCTTCTCTTCAGTCAATTTGGCAAGAGCTTGCTTCAGAGTTTCAACTTGCCTTTCAGCTTTGTCAGCTCGCTCACTAAACTTTCTAGCATCCTCTTCACCAAGCAGTACTTTGTTCTCTAGAGTTGATATTATCTCCAAGGATTGTTTGTATTGACCTAAAGCAACATCTTTTTCAGATTCCATCAAAGCATGGTCTTGCTTTAGGGCTTGAGCTTCAGTTTCAGCTTTATGGGCTCGCTCATTGAGTTCCCCAGCATCCTCTTTGGCTTGAGAGATAACATTCTCTAGACTGGCTATCCTTTCCATACACTGCTGGTACTGAAGAAGACTAGCTTCCTTTTCAGCTTCCAATTTACTGAGAGCTTCCTTCAAAGTTTGAACTTCACATTCAGCTTTTGCTTGCTCATTAAGTGCTCTGGAATCCTCTTGCACACGAGAGACTTCTGACTCTAGCTTAGACAAGCTCTCCAAACTCTGTTGGTACTGAGCTAGGCCAGCCTCCTTTTCAGCTTCTAATTTGGCTAGGGTGTCCCTCAATATTTGAATTTCCTTCTCAAACTTACCCACTTCAAATTCTGACAAGGCTCGATCCTGGGTACTATGGTTCTCCTTGCGCTGGATGCTTCGTTCCTTTTCCTCTGCCTCATGAAAATTGAGGCCCTTTCTCACCCTTCCTTCTCCGAGCCCAAACAAATTATTGAACTGTTTCAAACCCTTTCTATTTGTTACAAAATCAGACTCTTCAGTATGGGCCCCATTCCTCTTGGCAGCATGGAAATGTGATGAAGAGAGCCCTGAAGTATCCTTTTGCAAATCATCAGGGTCAAATAATGCACGTATAGGGGTTGACATCTCGGGTGTATGGGGATCTGTCTCAGAAGCACAAGAATCATCAGGCAGTACCAAGGGGACTTGATTTGGGAACACTTCTGCCATAGTCCGGTGGGCATGCCGAATCACCCCAGTTGCATGATCGTATCTTTCAGCCAATGCACGATATGCTCGATAGAATTCTTCAACCAATTTCATAAGCTCTGGACGTTTCTTGTAATACATCTCTGCCCTCCTTGCAAAGGAATCAGCATCTTCTTCAATAAGCTTGATCATCGATTTGACTTTTGCATCCATATCTGTTGAAGTTGATTGAAAAAAAGAAAGTTTATAGGGATCACACATGCATAAATACAGACACACAAACATAATAATCCCACAATAACCATTTCAAAACTTTAATCTGGAAAACTGGTGTCAAGGAATGGTGTATGCATGAAATCTAAAACAATGCACTTCAACAAGAAGCAAAATTGAACATGTAGGGAAGAAAACTATACCTGTAAGATTCTCCTGAAGCCATTTTGAATTTTTGGGGCTTATGTGGCTGTCCCACCACCAAGAGTACATGCGTCTAGATTCCGCTTGTGAAAGGGTTGCCATAACTCCAATGAATGCTGTAAACTATCACAAAAGCTCAATTTTTGGATCAAACCAGAACCAGATGGCTATATTTTAAACAACCCAATTCAATATTAATAGATAGAATTGAGTTTTCAAGCTGTCACTCCTTGTACCTAGTCAAAAAAATAAATAAATAAAAATTCAGTTTTGGGTCATGGATACTGAAAAAAAAAAAAAAGAGCAGAAAATTGAGACCATGATGGAAAGACCAGAACTGGCAAGTGAATTACCTAATTAACAGAAACCAAGTCCAGAAATCATGTAAGAAAAATTGTTGCTGTCGCAGAAACTTTAGAAATTAACCTAATCAAACACACCGAAAAATCAGAACAAAAGGGTTAGATCATCAAACTTTTTTTATTTTTCTTGGTAGGGAAAAAAAAACAAAAACTTTATTGAGGACAATCCCGGGACCAAAATTACTTATAATGAAGAATTTGAGATGCTTCAGAGTAGCAAATCAATTTCAATGGTTTCACTCTAACATACAAAAAAACAAAAAAACAAAAAAAAAACAAGTAAACATCTAAACCTCAAAAATCACAGTATTAATTACTGATCAACAACAAACCCATGAGCAAAAAGTGACGAAAAACTCCCCAAAACAAATGAGGCTTAAACAAATCTATATAACTATATCCATGTTTTGTTTTTGTATCAGAAAGAAAGACTAAAACTGAACATGAAAAGCATTTAAAAAGATGGTTCAAAACCACGAACTCACCAGAAGAAATCAAAACTAAGTTGGGATTTGATCACAGCTGCAAGAAAATAGCTCCAGCTGCTCTGCATTTCTCTCACCCCATTGCTGTTAGATCTCTCTCGGAATGTTTCTCTCTCTCTCTCTCTGAAATCTTTTTTGGGCTTTATGCCGTGCTGTGTTTGCAGGGAACTGTTAAAGTAGAAAGAATATTTTAAAAAGTAGGGGCAAAACATAAAAAAGACAAAACAAGGAAAGCAAATCATAATTGTTAATTAAGAGTGGATTTTCCTTTTTAAATGTGTTTTACAAATCTTTTTTTTTATAATAACGTCACGCTCTATTTTTGGAATCTTGGGTATCTGCTGTAAATGTGAAAAAGGTGGTTCTTACACTATTATTTTACCTCTTTATATCTTTTATATGAGTTTTTTTTTTTTTAATTTTATTCATGTATGAAATTATCTTTAAAGATAAAATATTAAATTAAATATATTTTGTTATCTTTTTATATTCCTTGGTCTTCAATTCCTGGTCCTCTTTTTCCTTTTTTAATTTTTCTTTTCTCTTACTCATCACTTTCCAAAAAGTAAGAATCAATGGTGTTTTGATCAGTAAAGAAAGTAATTGATGAAGAAACAATAGTGAAGAACCATAAAAAAAAGTGAAATTGTGAGTTTTTTTTTATTTATTTGGTGGGTTTTTATTTCGTTTTTCTGGATTGATGTTCGACTTTCATTCGGTGGTTCGAAATCGAATAAAATAAAATTGTCCGGCATCACATTGTAGAACAAAAAATATAAGTCTAGTAACCAATTACCGAATAAAAGATACATTTCAGGTAACCCCAAACCGAATTTTTTAAAATTTGTTCGGCTTCTCATTACCATGTATTTTTAGTTTCATTTTTTTATTTTTTTACTTGCAAGGATTATACTTATACTCATTGCAATAACACAAATACTGCAATATTAGTGGATTCTAGTTATGAATTCATTATAAACGAGGTTTGTTAAATTTTTTTTATGAATATAATTTTTTCTTATTTTTAATTTGTATTGAGATTTATTAATAATTTGATGTATAAATGCATTTATTATCTTTAGTTTTATAGCAGTTGTGAAGTATTAATTAAATGGGCATCTGATATTGGGAAGAATATTAGATTTGACATTGTCATAAAGACATCAGATGCGAGAGATAAAAGCAGAAAATCAAGACTTACACTTGTTTGTAAAAGAAGTGGTTACCATAGAGACAATAGGAAGATCAAGGGAAAGCGATTGAGATTGACAAGTTTTAAAAATAGTGGATGTCTATTTCTATTATGGGAGAAAAAATTATCAAGACGAATTGTGAGAATATGTTTGATTGATGGATGCAAACAATGACATATTTTATGAATACTTTATGAATATTCTTACATTTTATATTTTTATGAATAATTTTATGGATACTTTTTATGTATGATTTTATGGATGTGTGTTTGATTTATAAATTTTTTTATGAATGCTTCAAGGAGAAAGTAAATCTTTAAATGTATAGCAACGGGAGCATAGACAACTCTATTGTAATTTAGCAACATGACACTAGAATAATCTCATTTGTATAACAATGTATCAGTGAACATGTACTTCACAAGTGGCCTAAATTAATTTCTTATTATCATCTAATTGGACGGCAACATAATGCTGAGAAAAAAATATTGTCCGATAACATGGCACTGGAGTAATTCAAATTAATTAGCGTTGTATTACCGAATAGGCCCAGCACAAATTAAAAAATTATTGTTTGGAAGAAAGTGTCTCTATAAATGTATAGCAACAAAATACTAGAAAGATCTATTTTTTCCGACAACATAACACCGGAATAATGTAAATTATTTAGTACCGTATTACCAAAATTAGTGGCGTAAAGAGATGAAATAGTTAATTTATGATTAGTTTTGGTAATGTATTGAGGGTGTAATGAGAATTATATTTTTTTTCATAGTGTAATAAGATGGAGGGTGTAAAAAGGTTAAATAGTGATGTAAGTAGAATCACTCATGTGAAATGATGCTCAGAAAAAGGCACAAAATGACAAGTTTGCCCTTGGTTAGAATATCTTCGAGTTTTTAATTTTTTTCTTTTAAACTAGAAATAAGTTTGACAGTAGAATATATCATTAAATATATTTTTAAAATTTAAAAAAAAAATCAAAATAGAAAGTTATATTAAAAAATGATTTTTTTTTGTTTATCAAACGGATTTTGAAAAAATTTCAAAAAACAAATTCTAAAATTTCAATCAAATAGAGCTTGCCAAATTAATAGACCACCAATGCCTATTTTATTCAAGATTCCAAATGATTTTTAAATAAAAATTAAAATATTTATTTAACTAAATTTTGTGTATTAATAAGTATTTGGGTTTAAAATAAAAAGAACAAATTTATTACATCATTTTATATAGAAATTTTGTGTAATTTTCTTCATTATTCTTATCATAGTGTTTCCCTATAGAAAAATGAAAGAAATTTTCAATAATTTTTTAATATTTTTGATTTTATAAATGAAATTCATTTTTAATTTAGCTCATATCATAATTTACATCATAGATCATTTTTTTTGTTTTGGAATACTTTATTAACACTACTTATATGTTTCTAACTTTTTTCCACAAGCAGAATATGTTGGAACAATCTTCTGTGCAAATAAAATAATTTGAAATTAATCAAACAAAATAAATAAATAACGTACCGAATTTATTTATCGAACCGAATTAAAAAAAATTAAAGACCACGTCGAGTGTGTGACACTCTGTCCTTAAGACAGATTCACCCCGCTACGGTGCTTACGGTTTAGTGGCGTCTATCTCCCAGGATACAATGATCTTAACCAATTTGTAGTAGTAGTTCAAAACAAATTGTTCGTCGAACCAAACCTGTGTTCTATACTCTCTTAAATTTAATCTAAAACTAATATATGAAGAATAAATGTACTAGAACAAAATGGACAGCAAAGAGACAAAAATCAGATTGATTTCTTTTTTTTAATCATCCCTTAGACTGCTGGAATATGGCTCTATTTATAGGCAAAATTTACACAGCCCGAACATGTGCTATTAGACAAAACAGGTACAAAAGAATTTGAACTTAAAAAGAGGTTCTGACCGTTAGCACATTTGAATACCAAAATTCAAACAAATTTGAAAAGTTGTCCATTGGTGGACAAATTTTCAACCAATTGGAAATAAAAGTGAACCGTTGGAGAACAGTGTTGAACCTTTATTATTAAACCAATTGAAAAAATATATATATATATATATATTAAACTATTTGAATATATATATATTAAATTATTTGAATATAAAATAAATAAAGGAAGAGGTACAAATTTTAGGAAACTACTTAGGAATCTAAAATTTAAATTTAGAATTAAATTAAATTCCCACAATTACAAACTTTAGAAAACCACTAAGGAACCCAATATTTGAATTTATAATTAAATTAAATTCCCACAATAATTTTTATTGAAAAAATTCAAATGAATTTCATCTAAAAAATTAATGTTAAACTCGAAAACGATGTCAACTTCCCATTCACTCATAAATGGTTTTGACGTTCCGTCTTCATCGTGTGACTTGCCACGCGGCAAGGAACACTTCACCTTTTCGGACCCGCCCCAAAATACGTTCGGGGCCCACTCAATTTTGGGCTCAAAAATATGCCTATATTAAACCATTTTTTCCAACAATCCCCCACATGAATGGAATTTGACAGAGAGAAAATGCAACAACATGATCTAAATACAGAGAGTACAGAAATTGGAAATATTCTGCAAAGGATAGGTAGCTTTTGGCTTTGAACCTTCCCTTGTGAGACACTATCGGATTTACTAGCTAACCAGTGAACATGATGTCTTGAACTCTTCAGCCGTTTGTGTAAACCAAGACAATTGAACTCACACAGTATATTCTCAAACACAGTTTAGTTCTCACTATTGTGTTCATTTTTGCCCTGAACAACCTGGTCTTTCATGAGTGCTCTAAAGACTTGTAGTCCTTCACAAATCTTATAGAACCGGCCCAGTTCATACTCACATAGGTGATTCTTATGAAGAGTATCCTGACATACTCCACTAGGTATACCTTGATATAAGAATCATTAAAATTTTAATTAACCTCAAACGCTGCAGACATCACTATTTCATCAAAGAAATGGGTAGGAGTTAGACTCCCAAGTGATCCTTCTGAGTCATTCACAACTCGGTTATCCCTTTGAACCTAGATCTTAGGATCTCCAGTCAACTAGGTTGGATTGCCGTTGTTGTAACTCTTATTTAATAGGCTTAAGTCCCATTCCCTTCGATGAATTCTCAACTAACTCTCTTGCTAACCCTTTGGTTAGTGGATCCGCTATGCTGTCTTTAGACTTAGCATATTCTATAGAAATAATTTCATTAAAGAGTAGTTGTCTCACGGTGTTATGTCGACGACGAATATGTCGTGACTTACCGTTATACATATGACTCTGTGCTCTACCTATAGCTGATTAACTATCACAATGTATGCATATAGCAGACACCGGTTTTGGCCATATTGGAATGTCTTTGAGGAAGTGGCGAAGCCATTCTGCCTCTTCCCCTGCTTTGTCTAAAGCTATGAATTCTGATTCCATAGTAGACCTAACAATACAAGTCTATTTGAAAGATTTCCAAGATACAGCCGCCCCACCAAGAGTAAAGACATACCTACTGGTGGACTTCGAGTCTCTAGTATCTGATATCCAATTTGTATCACAGTAACCTTCAAGTACTGCTGGATATCTAGTATAATTCAGCCTAATGTTACGAGTAAATCGGAGATATCTAAGAACCCTTATAATTGCTTTCCAGTGTTCTACTCCCGGATTACTGGTATATCTACTTAATTTACTTATTGCATAAGTTATATCCGGGTGAGTGCAGTTCATCAAGTACATTAAGCTTCCAATAATTTGGGCATACTCTAATTGAAAAATATTTTCCTGTACATTTTTAGAAAGATACAAATTAACATCTACAGGTGTTCTAGCAAGTTGATCATCATCTTTGCTGAATTTGTCGAGTATTTTCTCAATGTAATGAGATTGTGACAAAGCATATCCTTCTAATGTTTTGGTAATTTTCATACCAAGAATTACATCAGCAATGCCCATGTCCTTCATGTCAAAATGTTTATTCAACATTTTCTTGGTAATTTTAATCATATCATTATTACTACCTATGATGAGCATATCATCTACATAAAGACATACGATGACATAATCTTTGTCTGTGTTTTTAATATAAACACATTTTTCACACTCATTAATTTTAAATCCATTTGACATCATTGCCTTGTCAAATTTCTCATGCTATTGCTTTGGCGCTTGTTTTAAACCATATAATGATTTAACCAATTTACACACTTTGTTTTCTTTTCCTGGAACAGAAAAACCTTCCGGTTGTTCCATGTAAATTTTTTCATTTAACTCACCATTTAAGAAAGCGATTTTCACATCCATTTGATGAATTTCTAGATTGTATAGAGATGCAATGGCAATTAGTATTCTAATGGATGTTATTCTAGTAATCGATGAGTATGTATCAAAATAATCAAGACCTTCTTTTTGTCTAAATCCTTTGACCACAAGTCTTGCTTTGTATTTGTCAATTGATCAATCTGCTTTCAATTTTCTTTTGAAAATCCACTTGTACCCAAGAGGTTTACAACCTGGTGGCAAATCCACCAATTCCCAAGTGTGATTTTGTAATATGGATTCAACTTCACTGTTGACAGCTTTTTTCCATAAAGGAGCTTCAGAACTAGACATAGCCTATTTAAAAGTTAAAGGCTCATTTTCTAACAAAAATGTTAGGAAATCTGGACCAAAAGATTTTGAGGTTCTGGCACGTTTACTACGCCTAGGCTCCTTTTCCTCATTTTGATCTAACTCTTGTTCTTGATCATTTTCTTGATCCTAACTAGTAATAGTATCATGAGATCTTTTATTGTTACTAGTTTCCTGTCCAGTCTTATTTGAAAATACATGTTCAAAGAATGATGCGTTCCTTGACTCAATAATAATATTTACATGCATTTTGGTATATTCTGATTTATGAATCAAAAATCGATATGCACTACTATTCTTAGCATAATCAATGAAAATGTAATCGATGGTCTTAGGACCTATCTTAGTCTTTTTAGGACTAGGAATAGCCACTTTAGCCAAACACCCCCACACTTTTAAGTATTTGTAGGATGGTATTCTTCCATGTCACAATTCATAAGGTGTTTGATTTATTTTCTTTCGGGGTACTTTATTTAAAATATAATTAGCAGAAAGTTTTGCTTCCCCCACAAGTTCTGAGGTAATCCAGAACTTATTAACATGACATTCATCATTTCTTTTAAAGTCTTATTTTTTCTTTCAGCAATTCCATTTTGCTGAGGTGAGTAAGGAGTAATAGTTTGATGAATTATTCAATGTTCTTTACAAAACTCACCAAAAGGTGATTCATATTCACCACCTCTATCACTTTTAATTTTCTTGATTTTCTTACCAACACTACTACAAATATAGATAAAGATCATACTTTTTTGGTGTGATGTATGTTTTTTAATTACACCTTTTAAGTTTTATTAAAGTGTGGTTTTTAGGAGTGTGATTAAAAATGGTCATTTTTAATCACACTTTTTAAGTGTCATTAAAAAATGCTTTCATCACATCTTTTAAGTGTGATTAATAATATTTAGATCACACCTTTTAAGTGTGATTAAAAACATTTAGATCACACCTTTTAAGTGTGATTAATAACTAATAAAACCTGTGATAAAAAAAAAATTGACATATTTAAAGAATAATCAATATTATTTTTGCACGCGCATTTGAATAATGTAATACACACTATATACTATATTTTGAATCATAACCATATATTGAATGAAATAATATCATATATTTCATAAATGAAAGTTAAATGTTTAAAAGTATATACAAAGAAATTAATAAAAAAAAAATTAGCTGTGATTACATACATTAAAAAATAAAAAATAAAAAACTTGAAAAAAGTAAGTTCTTGAATTCTTTGACCATATTTCCAAGAAATTTCTGACCTGAAAAATAAAAAAACAAATTAATTTAAAAACCGCCAGAAGCATATGAATAAACTTACTAATTAATTTATAAACTTACATTTAGATCACACAAAAAATAATGTAATTTATCTAGTTGTTAAACTGCCCCAATCCTTTCTTTTACCAGATTCTGGGTTTCAACAAAAAAAATGTATGCTTATTGCATACATCAAGGATTTTAATCTTCTAAAAATGATATATATTGTAGGTGAGACGGTTGAAATGGCGAAAAAGGTTATAAAACAAAGTTGAAATGGCGAAAAAGGTTATAAAACAAACCTATGAAATAGTAGAAGGGTGTCTACGAACAAATTACTATGGACCTAAATAGCTATCTCAAGCTCTCATTCCACTTCTTCAGCTCTCTAGTTCTACAAGAATTGTTAATGTCTCATCCGGTTTGGGGCAGCTAAAGGTAAAAAACTTTCCCTCAAAAGCTGGTTAAACTGTGCTATAAATTTAGCCTGTGACATATAACTAAATGTTTTTAAGCAGAATGTTACAAATGAATGGGCAAGAAAGGTAAAACCAATCAGGTTGGTTTTCATATCACTGAAATTTCCATTTTCTTTATATTTTGTTTGGTTCATGGGTTAACTATATGAAGAGATTCCATAGCAATATATATCAAGCCCTCTAATCAGAGATTCATACTCTAATATTTACATCAATACATTCATATATGCCTGATCAATGCCAGATTCGGAAGCTGATAGATGAATCTTTCGAGCCTTAGACAATTTACCTTTCAATCAACTAAAGCCTATCGCCCAGTGTTGGTTAAATTAAAGAAATAGTGGGTGCCAAGGACTGAGCACAAGCCTGACCAGATCATTATTGAGATACAAAGCAACCAAACTCATATTCAACCCATGTCCTCACACTTGACAACCTAAACTTTCACCATTGCAGAGCAAGCAATGGCCCCTCATTGGCCTGATAGGTTGACTATGGTTTGAAAATGGGTATTATCCTTGATTGTTTACATTGTAAAGAGGTTGGCTTATTGGTTCACTTGTGAGATTTTGGTATCATTGGGTACAAAAATTGTATCAAAATCATAAAATTTCCCCAAGTCATATTGACAATGGCGAAGGGCTAAACTTTCAACAAATAGATAAAAAGAGTTGCATAGAAAGTGTCAACTATAAAAATTGTATCAAAATCATAAAATTTCGCCTGGTGATTTTGACAATGGCGAAGGGCTAAACTTTCAACAAATAGATAAAAAGAGTTGCATAGAAAGTGTCAACTATGGAAACAAATTGAAATTACTTGGGCAGGGTAACTGATGTACTTTAAAGCTTCAATCCCCATAGTTGGGCTAATTGTATTTGTAATGCCAACACTCCAGTAACTCCACCATGGAGCACCACCACTACTAGTACTGGACCAAAGCTTTATCACTGACCCATAACAGCACATTAAACTAATTACTTAACTGTAACATCTGAATCCAAATAAAAGGGGAAAATCACACAGACAAGAAAAAAAGATTAAGATTAAAAATATAATAATAAAAAAAAACTTACTAATAAATGACCAAATGAAACAAACTACACTTTGTGCCAGATTCAGAAATGCTAAGCTTTCAAAACTCTCTTTGTTTGGGCCAAATCTCTTGGTGGACCTGAAGGGTATCATAACAATTACAAAAAAAAAAAAAAAAAAAATCTATGAATACAAAACAAGGGTAATTAGTTGACAATCTTTATGAATGATATGCTTTGAGCTTCGCTTGCACAAATGATATGCTTCTGCCACCATAATAATCTCAGTAGTGGTCTCCAAATTGAAATTTATCTGGTTTGCACAAATTTCTCTGGTTTGCAAATTTACTGGGAGAAAAAAAAAAAAAAAAACTTATTGGGTTAGCACCATTTGAACAGAATCCATATTCCAATTCAGCTCTCAAGTAAGTCATGCAATTCCAAGACCCTGCATCCGGAGCAGTTAGATAGCTCGCACAGGTAGAGTTTCCAAAGGCGATGGATTCAACTTTGTTGATCTTCAAAGCGTTGACAGAAGCTTGGTAAAAGACACCGGACAATACCAGAAGGCAAGAAATAATACCGAACATATAATCATCAGCCTCTTTCTTCCATACCTATCCACAAAACACATGCTGACAATAGACCCTACAGCGTTGAGGCCCGATGTGATGAGAGACAGCGCTATAGTGGTCTTGTTGGAAGCGAATCCAATGAACTGTACAATGGTGGGGCTTTAGTACATGACAAGGTTGATGCCAACGAACTGTTGAGCTACTTGGACAGTGATAGATGAAGAATCGAGCTTATATATATATATATATATATTCTAGGGCATGTGTGTATTTATAGAAGGACAAGGGACCAACAGAGGCAACGGTAATAACAGCTCCAGTAGTGCTTTTTGAGAGAGAGTTTTTGTTGGCGAAGGTGAGTGCTTTTTGAGAGAGAGTTTTTGTTGGCGAAGGTGACAATATCTTCGTGATTCGGTGAAATCGTCCATGGATAAGAATGCTTTGAGCTTCGCTTGCTTGACGAAGGAGAGAGAATTGGAGAAAGGAAAATGTTTGAGGGCATTTCTGTGGCTCAAATGGTTTAAATTTGTCAAAATGACGTCGTTTTGGCAATTTTGATATTGTTTTGTACTCAAAACGACGTCGTTTTGACAAATTCGAGCTATTTGAGTCACAAAAATTAGGACCCTCTATCATTGTTGTTGGAGAAAACGACAATGATAATGAACTTCGGCGACAGAGATGGAGTTTGTCAGAGACAGAAAAGCAAAGAGAGAGGAAAAGAGGGAGAGACAGTTTGATTTGAAAAGATGGGTGTCGGGGGTCGAGAAACTTGATACGTCATAAAATAATATTATGGACTTCCGTCATTATTAAAAATAAAAAAAGGACGTTAGGCTAATTTTTTCAAACATGAAACAAAAAAATTTATTGTTTAAAGAAAATAAAAGTTAACCAACAAAAAATTCAAATTGGATTTTATTTTTTTACATTTTTCTTATTATAAAAAATAGTATATAAATATAAGAAATTGAGAGAATTAATTACAAATAAGTGAAAATTGTATTCAATGTAGCTAATTGTAATTGTTTTTAGGACATTAGAGGCAAAGGTCTAATTTTGAAACCGTTTAGGCAATAGTCTTAAACTCTTGAACCATCTGTAGTGCACCAAAACAATGTCATTTTGGTGTCATAAAAAAATAAAAATTGTGAGGATATATTTTCTGAGTACCAACACGTGGCAAGGTGACGCCGACGTGTCAGCCAAGGTGCCGATCCTAACTAGTAATAGTATCATGAGATCTTTTATTGTTACTAGTTTCCTGTCCAGTCTTATTTGGAAATACATGTTCAAAGAATGATGCATTTCTTGACTCAATAATAGTATTTACATGCATTTTGGTATATTATGATTTATGAATCAAAAATTGATATGCACTACTATTCTTAGCATAATCAATGAAAATGTAATCGATGGTCTTAGGACCTATCTTAGTCATTTTAGGACTAGAAATAGCCACTTTAGCCAAACACCCCCACACTTTTAAGTATTTGTAGGATGGTATTCTTCCATGCCACAATTCATAAGGTGTTTGATTTATTTTCTTTTGGGGTACTTTATTTAAAATATAATTAGCAGAAAGTTTTGCTTCCCCCCACAAGTTCTGAGGTAATCCAGAACTTATTAACATGACATTCATCATTTCTTTTAAAGTCCTATTTTTTCTTTCAGCAATTCCATTTTGCTGAGCTGAGTAAGGAGCAATAGTTTGATGAATTATTCAATGTTCTTTACAAAAACTCACCAAAAGGTGATTCATATTCACCACCTTTATCACTTCTAATTTTCTTGATTTTCTTACCAAGTTGATTTTCAATTTCATTCTTATATAGAATGAAAGTTTCTAAAGTTTCATCCTTGGTTCAAATTAAATAAACATAACTATATCTAGTATAGTCATCTATAAAAGTGATTACATACTTTTTCCCACCTCTGATTTGAATTGATTTAAAATCACAAATGTCACTATGAATTAATTCAAGTGGTTCCGTACTTATTTCAATTGAATGAAAATGAGTTTTAGATAATTTTGCCTCAACACAAATTTCACATTTATGATTTAAATCAATGTCAAATTTAGGTAAACATTCCATATTAATTAATCTACGCAAAGATCCATAATTAACATGTCCTAGTCTACCATGCCATAAATTTGAAAACTCAAGCAAGTAAGAAGAAGATGTAGTATTATTAATAACTGAGGGTACAACGGTCATTACATTTAACTTGAAAAGGCCATCAGACATGTAACCTTTTCCTACATGCATCCCATTTTTAGTAAGTACAAATTTATCACTCTCAAATACTAGCCTAAACCCATTCTTACTCAACAAAGATCCGGAAACAAGATTCTTGCAAATGTCTGGTACATGCAGCACATTGTTGAGAGTGAGTTCCTTTCCTGATGTCATCTTGAGTACAATATTTCCTTGTCGTTCAACTTTGAAAGTTGAGTAGTTGCCCATAAAAAGTTGTTCACCATTGTCCACTGTAGAATAAGATGTGAACATCTTTTTGTCGGCACAAATATGACGAGTAGCACCAGTGTCCACCCACCATTCTTTAGGATTTCCGACAAGATTTGCCTCGGAAACAACTGCAAAAAGATTGATGTCTTTGACACCATTGAAAATATTGTCCACTTCGGTCATATGGGCTTGAGCAGGCTTTTTGCTTGTTCTTCTTTTGTTTTTGCCTTTGTTACGACAATCTTTGGCCCGATATCCCTCTTTGTCACAGATGTAACATTTGCCATTAAACTTGTACTTTTCATTATCCCCCCTTTAGAGCCTTGTGATGAACTTTCTCCAGAAGACTTTCGTTTCTTAGTTTTGAAGCATGTTCCACCACATTTGCCTTAGACTTCATAGGATACTTACCAGCTCGCTTTTCAGAATTGCGGTTGTCCTCCTCACTCTTCAAACGCATAATTAACTTGTCCATAGAAATTTCTTTGCATTTGTGTTTGAGGTAGTTATTGAATTCCTTCCAGCCTTTTGGTAATTTTTCAATTAAGGCTGCAACTTGGAAGGATTCACTGAAAGACATGCCTTCTGCGTGAATGTCATGCAGAATGAGTTGGAAATCTTGAGATTGGCTGATCACAGTTTTTGAATCAACCATTACAAAATTCAGGAATCTGTCAACTACAAATTTCTTTGAGCCGGCATCTTCTGTTTTGTACTTTTTCTCCAAAGACTCCCAAAGTTCCTTTGCTGTCTTGATAGGACTGTAGACGTTGTATAATGAGTTGTCAAGTCCGTTCAAGATGTAGTTCCGGCAAAGGAAATCTGCATGTTTCCAAGCATCAACTGCAGCAACCACTTGCCGGTCGGTTTTATCCTCTTTCAGGATAGGAGCATCTTCACGGAGGAAACGAGTCAGGTTCAGAGTTGTAAGATAGAACAACATTTTCTGTTGCCATCTTTTAAAGTCAATTCTTGAGAACTTCTCTGGCTTTTCACCGTGATTTACCGGTACTGTTATAACAGGAGAAGGAGTTGGTGTCATTGCAGCCACCACAGTAGTACTTGTTTGGGCATTAATTTCAGTAGCCATCAATTCTAATTTATAAAACAAAATTATAATTAGAATGTACACTACACAAAAAATTAAACCAAATTCACAGAATCAAATTCTGTAAAAATAAAAGAAACAAGAATGTAACTTTTATTTTCCAATTAATTTGGAAATAAAATAAAATTTTATTCAACCAAATTAATTCCACACAGGAAATTAAATTCTGTAAAATAAAAGAAATAAGAAAATAACTTTTATTTTTTCAATTAATTTGGAAATAAAATAAAATTTTATTCAACCAAATTAATTCCACACAGGAAATTAAATGATGTAAAAATAAAAGAAATAAGAAAATAACTTTTATTTTTCAATTAATTTGGAAATAAAATAAAATTATATTTAACCAAATTAACTCCACACAGAAAATTAATTTCTGCAACACTTCAATAGTTAAAATATTAAAACAAAATTTTAAGTAATAAAAACTCAGAAAATAATTTCTAAAACCCAAAATTAATTTCTGAAAAAATTCCAGAAAAATATATTATAAATTATTAATGACACCAGTATCGTACTACTAGTTGTCAAAGAAAATAGATAGTATATTACTACTATCTGTCAAATAGCATATAATCACTATTTGTTTTTCCAACCAGAATATTATTTTGTAAATTTACAGAAAATAATTTTCTTAAAAGAAAAAAGAGAAAAGGAAACAAACGAAAAAATTCTGTAAACAGAATAAATTTGAATCTGTCTTAGGATTGTTGAAATAATCTTCTGTGTAAATAAAATAATTTGAAATTAATCAAACAAAATAAATAAATAACGTACCGAATTTATTTATCGAACCGAATTAAAAAAAAAAATTAAAGACCAAGTCGAGTGTGTGACACTCTGTCCTTAAAACAGATTCACCCCGTTACGGTGCTTACGGTTGAGTGGCGTCTATCTCTCAGGATACAATGATCTTAACCAATTTGTAGTAGTAGCCAAAAATAAATTGTTTGACGAACCAAACCTGTGTTCTATACTCTCTTAAATTTAATCTAAAACTAATATATGAAGAATAAATGCACTAGAACAAAATGGACAGCAAAGAGACAAAAATCAGACTGATTTCTTTTTTTTAATCATCCCTTAGATTGCTGGAATATGGCTCTATTTATAGGCAAAATTTACACAGCTCGAACAGGTGCTATTAGACAGAACAGGTACAAAAGAATTTGAACTCAAAAAGAGGTTCTGACTGTTAGCACATTTGAATACCAAAATTCAAACAAATTTGAAAAAGTTGTCCGCTGGTGGACAAATTTTCAACCAATTAGAAATAAAAGTGAACCGTTGGAGGACAGTGTTGAGCCTTTATTATTAAACCAATTGAAAAAATATATATATATTAAATTATTTGAATATATATATATATATATTAA